GAAGAAGAAGAAGAAGAAGAAGAAGAAGAAGAAGAAGAAGAAGAAGAAGAAGAAGAAGAAGAAGAAGAAGAAGAAGAAGAAGAAGAAGAAGAAGAAGAAGAAGAAGGAAAGAAAGAAAGAAAGAAAGAAAGAAAGAAAGAGAAAAAAAACCATGATGATCTCACCATTTCTGAAAAACACAAATGAGGAGTGGGGTGGAACTGAGATCGTATCGTAACTGCTGCTATACTTCTGCAAGAAGTCTCAGGTGTGAAGAACAGAGTTATGGGAGCTCACTATCATGATTCGGAGTGGGTGGGTGCTGAGGGTCATTAGTCTACGGCTGCTATTTACTTGTGTTTACAATCTATCTCATGTCATTTTTTACTTGAACACTGTTACTAGGGCACATAAAATTGGATTTTTTTTTTCAGCCTTGGAAACTGATCATCATAATTGTATGACAGCAAGTTGGTACTGCCTCTGGAGATTTACTGCCAGCAATGACCTAGCAATTTGTTGCCGACGTTTTAAAATGATGGCTTCTTAGAGCAACATCTTTCCCGAATTAGTAACTTCAGCAAATGGGATGATGGGTTGCCTGTAGCTACAGTAGTAAATTAGAAGGAGATATGATGGAAAACAAGAGCCACAAAAGGAACCCAGTTTTCAAGTCTGTTATCTCGTGGTTTTGAATCATAAGATCTACAAACAGGAAGAAGGAAGAGAGGAGGAGCACACAGGAACTCTGTGAAGCTGCTCGAACCTCAGCTGATTTGATGAGTCTACACAGTTTTAAAGTGACCTGATTGTTACTTGCTTCTGTTTGCATCTGTCCTCTCACCTCCGAAGTTGATTTTTTTTCCCCTTAGAGACTTTGTAGCAAAAAAAAAAAAATCTTGTAAAATCCAAAATTATATACAATTGTAGATAAAAGAAGCATTATCTAATTCATCTATATAATGATTCACTCGTTCAGTCGGTGACTGGTAACTGACTGCTGCCCCTCAGCAATATGTACTTGACTCTGACACTCATGCTCATTTTCCCCTCAAACAAATATCTCAGATCTCAAAATCTTCTAGTACATGATAAAACCTCCGATAATGAAAAGCAGTTCATTGGTACCCTCTGAGACCACTGAGATGGTGCAAGGAGCATATGGGGGTCCAATGGGATGGGAAGTATGACAGACTTTTGTAAAGAAAAAGAAAATAAAAGAATTTTGAATTTATATAGAATGCCAACTGTAAATAAGCGAGACAACTACCATAGCAGCTGTAACAAACTAAAGATGGGACTTCAATAATTATAAAGCACATCCCGTGGCTCAAGAACTGTTTTGTGGAACAGACGCAACACAGATTGAATTATTTTGATGGAAAAGAAGACAATAGCGTGAGTCACGGCTCAGGAGGCGTACATGATGAATGCTGGAGTTCCTAAGGATGCTGGGTCAAGGAAAGCTGGTCAAGGAGAAACTGTCTTTGAGCTTAAAGAAGAATCACTTCTACACAAAAGCCTTTCTAAACAACAGGGACTTAAGGGCCCTCGGAAAGCTGAGTCATGCCCAGTAAAACAGGGTACAACAGCTGGCACTCGGAACCAGAGACAAAGTAACGGCTGGCTTAAGGCTCTTCTTTATTCTGTTCCAGTAAGCTGCATTTGCTTTGACTTCTACCGGGCCATGTGGTTTATTTTCTAAACCTCTTATGGATCTGCTCTGCAGATTCAGCAGCCCATCCTGAACGGCACTGAGTGCTTTGCAATGACATGGAATTCCAAGAGCAAAAGAGCCAGCTGTCATCTAACCCAGGCTCCCCTCATAAAATAAAAATAAATAATAAACAAACAAACGGATCTTACCCATCTTGTCCAGCCAAACTGTTTCCCAAGCAGACAAAAGAGGACACACCCATCTTTGTTAATGACAAGGTGGTCTAGTTCCAGAATTAGGAAAGCTTCAACCTGAGAGCCAATGCTTCCATTTCTTCCTTGCTCCTTTTGATATGCTATGGGAAGCACTGTCCAGCGTCCCAGATGCCCCTGCGCAATCTGCCCTCACTCTGTCGGCACATCTTCCCTAAGTCATCGTGTTTAACAGACAATGTAAAATCTCAGACAGTTCTCCAGAGGTCCTTTTCCCAATTTACTCAACAGAGGTATCATAAGCCTCCTGAACTATTAAAAATCAATAACAATGATTCCTTTTGAAAACCACACGGAACAAGGACAAACATTAATGCTATGATCTTAGATGATCTAATTAAACTTTTGCAGCCTCCACTTCACTGCCTATAAAATGACTTCTTACATCTTTTCATAATCTAGGGGCTTGGAGTGCAATCAAAGTGTCTCCATTTTCTACAAGACCATATCGAAAACAGGTTGTAGTATTATGTAAGTCTCATAAAATTCCCTTCAGACTGGTACAGTACTTCTTCCAACTTCCACTTAGAGTGGGAGATTCCATTCGAGTTGTTAACTATTGTGTTGGTTGTTTTAGAGTAGAAGCTATTAAGTGAGTCTCAAGAGTTGCCAAAAGAGTTCCTCAAATTCAATATTACATCATTTGGCTCCTAGAAAAAAAAAAAAACAATGGAAACAGCATACATAATGTGTGTAGGTGAACACACAAACATTCACACACACACACACTCACTCACACCACTGCTTGCATTTTGATGTGCTAGGAATTGAACATAAGTATCGTGGATGCTAGAGTTCTTCACCATTGGGCTAGACCGCAAACCCAGAATGCAAATATTTTAATACCTGAAGTAATGACTCTTTGGAGATGCACACTTGTAACGATGACAAGCAGGCAGATAGGCCAAGTGGAAAAGGTTTTAAAACTTGAAATTACTTTATCATTCAGAAGTCAAATCTGGACGCTTAAGATTGATAGTAAACTTCTGCCAGGATGATAATTTGTCGCATATTTTCACTTACATAAGCTTACAATAATTCTGGCCTATAGCTGAGTCAAATAATTGTCACAGTAACTGCTTATTTTACTTCAAATTGATGAATTTATTTATATAATTTAACACTAATGTATACTATTTTATAATAAATATTGTACGCTAGACACACATACATGATATATATGTAATCACCTGTAATATCATCAGTAAATATGTATTTTAAACATATATAAATATTAACTCATATATATGAATATAGTGGTTTTATTTCTCAAAATTGATCTTATATACTCCCATTTTCTGAATTGAACCTGAAGAGTGTTGATCATGGAATATAATGGTAAAATTTTATGGAAATGAAAGAATTATAATCAGAAATAATGTCACTGAAGAATAAGATACTATATGTATATATTTCTTTCCCAGTTTAATGTGTTTTGGGCAATCTTAAATATAGAATAAATTCATGAGGTGAAATCAAAGTGATTTGACTGAATGATTATGTCAGGTCAATACTTTTGTGATTTGCTTTATAGTAACATCTTCATAAGCATAACTGTACCTCAGAAGAGATCTCAAATTAAAACTTAGTTAAGACATGCTTTGGACTCTTTTAAAAAAAAAACTGGTCTAAATTACCTGCAAAGACATTCTCCTTAAGTCAAAGCAATATTTTTCATTTCTCTTAGAGAACACAAACACAGCCACATGGGATATTTTGATAGATTTTTAAGTGGGTTTTATTGTATTTATAACTTGTTTGTACTATACCTCATTTATTAGTCTGATACCTAAATGTGTGTATATTTTTATGTATTCCCTTACAATAGAATTTTTAATAGCATGTATGTAGCCTACAAATTCACAGGCATGCATTTGATCAATTGACATCTAAAACTATATCTTTTGTATGCTGTGGTGAATGAATTTCCACATGAGCATGGTCAAACCACTTGTGACTTCCAAACATTGCTCCCAAGAAACAAATAGGAATTATTTTAAAAATGAAAAGCATGTAATATTTTCAGATCTAAAGTGGGAACAAGTTAACTTTCTAATGTAATTGCAATTTGTAAATGCAAATTACATGCTAAGTGTAATTTGTTTCCATGGATACTGTGTCAGCAAGCATTGATTCTATCCTGGAGGAACTGGGTAGTGTATGATTGAAGATTCCGGTTCTTCCTTCAGTGTACAAAGGAGTCTGTCTCCCTCGTCTCCACACATCCAGAAGCCACCCCACATCATCTGTTTTTATCTCCTCAAACTACTTTTTGATCCCTCTTATCAAGAAGTGATCTCCTCTGTAAATTCAAATTGTATTGTCTTCTGACTCGGTTCAATCTTTTGTAAAATCCACTGCTCAGAGTTAGTAGAAGTTTTGGTTGAAAAAAAGGAGTCATCATGCGACTTTGGTAAAACATCAGTCAATTTTGTTACACATGTGAGCAAGCTCATTATCTCTTCAGTTTCTTTAGCCGAAGTTGTCTTGAGAAATAAGAATGTTCAAAGCAGGTAAACAACTTAGAACACAGTACATACCAGTTGACTCTCAGACGCTGTAGAGGACGTTGATAAAAGATTTGCCTGAAAATATAAATATGATGGATATTAGTGAGATTATAGAAAAAGCATGACACCAAGAAATAGTTATTTTGAGCGATGTGGCACACATCCTCTGCATTTTAGCTCCTTTGCTGTTTTTCTTCTTGCCTTAATAGTACAAGCCCTGCCTCCTGATACCAATGATTCTTCAAGGTTAGGTAATATCGTCTGTTTGCTCAATCCATATTTTATTTAAACATAAAAATATGGTCGATATTTATGTTTACTGACACCAAAATTAAAAACAAGTCAGATTTTTCTCAAAACATATTTATATTAAGAGAGTAACGTAACAAAAATCTCTCGAGTAAGGAATGGAAATAACTCACTTCCAAAATTTTTAGAGAACCTGTTAATATTGTCTTTGTGACTGGTTCCTACCTTTGACTCCTTTTGTCTGGGGATCATATCTTTACAACTCGTTAGTATTTCACATTTTCCTTGATAATATTTTGTACTTCATAGTGACGTGCCTGGAGGCTAGGGATGATGGGGTGGACCCAGCAGAGGGAAGATAAAAGATGATGCTGAAGGCAGGTTGCAGTGAAACTTCATCCAGGCTGAGTGTGGGAGTCATCAACTGTGCTGTCTAGGGTTGTAGTTACAAATAGCATGGTCTCCAAAACCACTGAAGACTATTTTTAAAATTCTTGTCACATACAAAAATATGATTTGGTAGGGATATATATATATGTGTGTGTATGTATGTTGATTAATTTGATCAAGGTTTTTATAATGTATGCACAGATGAGACATCACACTGTTTTTTATGAATATAAAAGTATTTGTCAATTAAAGATAAGTCAAATTTCTATAAAAAGGTAGACCACATTTTCAGTAAAGTTACATTTTTAATATCAATGAAATTCTGTTAGTTATATTTTCATTGGCTGGTTTTATTTCAGGGCATGTTGTTTCTTTGTTTTATAGAGTCTCATTACAGCCCAAAGTGGGCTTGACCTCATGACCTTCCTGCCTCAGCCTCTACATGTTTAAAATGGAAGTACATTCACCTGTTCCTTTCTTACAACCAGGATCCATACAATATAAGAACCGAAACAGTGAAGCCTACAGAGTGAAGCTGTGCCTGCCTGAAAGACAAACGACTGTAGAGGGCCCCAGCTACACTAGCCAGCTTTGGAGAAATCCATTTTACTTTGCAAAGGCACAACACCAAAATCATAAAGTGCCAGCAGGCCCCTTGCTGCTGTCTGGAGCTCCATCCCCTCGGAACCCATAGTGGAGAAACTTTAAAATTGCGTAATATTCTATCTTCTCATGAATATAAGACATAGGACTTATTCTATCCTCTCCATCCTGGTGGAGCATGGCCTGATGGTAACGGTAACTTCCACTCCTCCCTCAGCCCTTTTCACCCACTAATAACTGCAGAAGCTCATGGAACTGGAGGAATACATGAAAGTCATTGGTAGAGTGGCATTTCCCACCTCCAGTGTGTACAGCTCTTCTGTAACTCATCAACCTCTGGCCTCATCTCTGGAAGTAGATATGGATATCGAGGGGAATTTGAGTCTCTTTCCCCTAAAATCTATGCCTGGTCCTAAGCAGCACCTGAGTCACTCCAAGCATAGCAACACTTCCAAGCATAGCAACAAGAATATGTGAGCTGCATAAATGAGAGATGACCTTTATTTGAATATCTGTGTATAAAGTGGAAAATATTCTTAGTAAGGTTTGACACATTTTTCAATATATTGTGATATTTAGGAATCAATATTCTTCCACTGTAATGACATTTTCTGTCCCTTGAGCTCATTAAAATGAGATTTTACCTATAAACTATCATATATTGAATAAGGCTGTACCATTTTTATGGAACTTAAAAGTAATTCATGAAATTTGAAAAGTTCATTAAATAAGTTACTATCAAATAGAATATTACTCCAAAACCAAGGGTTTCAGACAAATTTATTAGATGCACAAATATTCCATTTTCTAAATTAAATTTTACTATGAATTTATGCTTTCATTGGCTTTTTCTTGGTTTTTAATTTTGGTTTGTTCAGACAAGATTTTCTATAGCTTTGGATCCTGTCTTGGAACTAGCTGTTGTAAATCGGGCTGGCCTTGAACTCACAGCAATCTACCTGCTTCTACCTCCCAACTGCTGGGATTAAAGGTGTGCGCCACCACTGCCCAGCAGCATGCTGTAATTTTTAAATTACACGAATGAAATAGATTTATGCAGGTGAGAGTTCATAAGAATAATAAAGGCAAATGCTGAGAAAGTTTTTCTTCCAAATCCAGGAGACCGAATGAAAGAAATTGTGTTTTAAAATAAAATTTAGTATTTCACACAGAGGAAAGCAACTGTCTCAGCATGAAGGCTGGGATACAGCTCAGTGGTGGAGCAGTGGCCTACCATATGCAAGTGCCTGAGTTCAGTTCCCAGCACTAGAATAAGAATGGGTGGTACCAGAAATTTTATAATAACAAAACTCACCTCATGGGACTCATGAATGGTTTAAAGAAAGTTTATTTGCTGCTTGCTATTATTTCTGAATTTAGCATCTGTTTAAAAGTTTAATGAAATATTGTTGATAAACTGTTCTATCTGATCATACAAAAGACCTAACACTATATTTTAATATGTTGTAAACCCTATATTGTTTCTCTTGTGCTTAAGAATATCTCAGCTAAATTACGTTAAAATAGCCTTTAATTGAAGCATACCTTGGGAGAAGCAATATTAAAAGTTTAATTAATCTAAACGAATGAAACTGTCAATGATCCAGACTGTAAACAAGAGTAAGATACTTAACAAAGACCGAAAGAACATTATTGTCTACTGGTCCCCCTCCTTCCCTCCCTCCATTCCTTTCTTCTTTCCTCCCCTCTCTCCCTTTCTCCATTCTCCTCCTCTTGTTCTCCACCAATTTTTTTCTCTCTTTTTAAGAAGGAGGCACACATGGAATAATTATTCATAAACCCCTTATTATTTAATTAACCTATTATAATCATCCCAGGACAATTGAAAACCCATGAGCATACTAACATGCTGATACAGTAGGAAGTCCCCACTCTGTCTGTCTCTTTCAAGGTCATTCAAGTCTCTGGCCATTTCTCCCATCTCTGTAAGAACGTAGATAGCTCACTTGTGTCCTCTATTGGTGTTTACATCTCAGAAGTGAGGACCTTGCCATTGCATCCACTCATGGACCCAGTGACCCCTCATGGACTTGTACATAGTAGGTGTTCAATAAATATTTGTCAAATCACTGAAGAAAAGTGGGAAAGTGGACAACAGAGTTAGGAAACACTAACTAGGTTTTCCACTACTAACGATCCTTGGGTTATAAATGAAACTAGGGATTTGGTGTGTTGGGTGCTAACTTGCTCAGGATAACTTCAGTACAACACAGTTCTCTTCTTGACTTTAATCCTTCCCTTATCCTGCCTGCTCTGTGGTACACGGACTGGTGCCCTGCATGGCTTCTGCTTTTGAACCAAATCTAGAACTCTCCTCGGGTTAATAAAACCTGGAGTCTCGGCACGTATATTTCTGTGAAAATGCCTAATTTCACAAAGAGAGTGAAGTACTAAACTGTTAGTCTAGAGACTTCTCATAGTTCCTCTCACAGGACATGGGAAAAATTAAAATGAGAAATTAATAGCTTAAAACTATTCAATTTGTACTTGGATAAAATATCATGTGTTTTATCCACTATACTAGAATTTCAAAAATGAATTATGGCCTTGTTATTTTTTTAAAAGTCAGAATATATTGTATTTAAGACAGATAGTTGACATAAGAGGACAGCCTAGAGATGAACAGAACTTCAGGCCAAAAATCATTACTTTCTTCTCAGAGTAAACATCAACTGTCTCTTAGTAATCACAGTAGCCATAGCTGTGTGTTGGTAAGTGTGAGTTATTTATAAGTTGACACCAAACATCTGGTTATATCTGGCATTATAAGATGTCCTCTTCCAAAAGATATATCTTCCTAAGACACGGACATATTTGAGATGCCACACACAATTTAAATGTTATGTTGTAAGAGAAAATCAAAAGCAGATCTTCTTGCTCAAAAAACAAACTTTAATTAAGGTCAATAATCTTAGCAGAATCAAAGTTATATTTGTTCTAATCTAATCCTGAATTTGCTCAATGATTCACAGTTAACTTCAAATGACTCAACTGTTCTCCTAAGCTATGGGGATGGAAAAATAACCTCCTTTGATAAGGTTTAAAAATAAAGAACCTTCTAAGAGCCTGGGTAAAACAGTCATTGTGAAAACCTTAAGACCCCAGGCCTTACCGTACCTTCACCAGGCATGGTGAGCCCCTTATAACCTCAGTACTCGGGTGACAGGGACTAGTGATCCTAGACCCATCCAGCTACTTACATTAGCTACAGTGTCAAACTCCCAGTTCAAGTAAATGGGAGTCCCTGCTTTGGTAAATAAAATGGAAAGTGATTGAGAAAACTCATGATGTCAGCCTCTGGTCTCCATACCCGCACAAGTACAGGTAATATAGGCACATACACATGCAAAAAAATACAAGTTAAGACACACACACATTTCTAAAGAGTGCTTTTTCTTTTTGCCCACTAAAGAATCATGGCGTCCAAATCATGAGGCTTCTAGTCTTCTAACAGCAGATAGGCGCATAGGCGCAAGAGAAGGGAGGAGGTGTGGATAAAAGCAACAACGAAGGACAAAGACAGAGAGAGCCTATGATGTATTAATAACTCCCGTATGTTGAGACTGCTTTAAGGGTTTTTCACATAAGGACTATCTAAACCTTAAACTCATCACATGAGAAAGCTATCACCACCCCCTATCTTATGGGTGAAAATGAAGGCATCGTAAAATGAAGTAAGTGACCCAAGAAGCAGCAGTTCCCACTAGGGTCTAGCCCACCAATGTCTCCAGTCTTTCAGACATTCCTCCAAAGGACTTCCAATAGTAATAGAAACTGACAGAAATCGCTTCCAGGAAATGCTCTGAATCATGTTCCTGACACATCCCATAACCATCATTTCCTGAGTATGATAAAATTTAGTAATTCCCTGGGCTTATTGTTTGCCTTAGAGAGATCCAAATGAAGGCAGAAAGGTGTGAAGCGTGGTGATGGCGTGGCACACAACACATATTTAATAGCTATATGTCCTTGATAATGATGAAAATACAGATTAGAAAAAAGCAGCGTGTCCTGGAGAAGGAGTAGTTTAATGGGTTGTTTCAGATTAAATGTTCAATACTTGCTGGGAAACTGTCTCACTTATACTAGAATATGTGTGTGCAGAAGCAGATGCGGGCCACAATTATGACATGATTGAGAGGCATGGGAAAGGCTCTGTGCGCATCAAGTGCTGAGCATGTGAATACACACCTACATATTTGTTGGTGTAATGTTCTTCTTTAAGACTTATTTATATATTATGTTTGGCTGCATGTATGTGCCCCACATGAATGTTTGTTGCCTGACAGAGGCCAAAATTTTAAAAAAGTAGCCATTCCTTTGGGCCTGGAGTCAGAGCCAGTTGTGACTTACCATGTGGGTGCTGGAAAACACACCTGGGTCCTCTGCAAGAGAAGCCAGTGCTCTCCTCATCCCCTAAGAAATTTCATCTCTCCAGTTCTCTGATTTAGTTTTTCTCATAAATAGACACTGAATTCCTTGATAACTTAAACACAGAAGAGCAACAAACTAATCATTCATTTAATCTGGTGATTCTTTGGATATGGACTAACCTCAATGTGTCAAGCACATGGGTGGACTATTTCTTAAATTCAAGAAGTACTTATAAAAATAAATGTCATCTAAGCTTTAGGAGCCGAAGGTACAAAAGGCAGGTGGTACAGTTCTGTTTTGTGTAGCTTAAGCAGATTAAACAAGAATTCATTTAAGAAGGAATTCAGTTGATAAGGTTACTCGATGCTATACACCTGATGCAATCTAATTTCCTATGTCTGGACCAATCATCACATCTTACCCCTTCCCATTTATGAAAAAATTAATAAATTCCATTATAATGACTATAGAGCTGACTTCCCTTTAAAATATAAACAGGCCTCCATTGAAAAAGTAGCAAGCATAGTAAGAAAGATACTTACATATTTGGTTTCTCGACCAGCTGCTCTTGGATGAGTTGAAGGAGTCTGTGTGAAAATAAAAATAATTAAGCATCTCCATAATTAGTGAATGATGAAGTGGTCAAAATTTAAGAAGATGCATCTTTTTCTCTACTGAGACTTTCTAACCATGAATCATAAAGATCGATTCAAAATTCCATTTATCTTTGAAATTTACTTTGTTAAATTAATAGCCCTTCATTATTCTCTTAACAGAAACCATTCGTCAAAACTCTGTCAATTTCCTCATATTTATTGATAATGTTAACCATGAGTCCTATAGTTCATTCCTCATCACATTTCTTCTATAGTTTTTCGGCTGTCTCAGAAGTCACTAGAAATTTCGGTTTTGTCTGTTCTTTGAGCTCCTTACACTCAAAGACATTCATCCCATTTCATTCATTTACTTTGAAGACCAAACCCAACTTTACTTCCAAGAATAACATGAAAGCTCTCGAAAATTACAGCTTCAAATGCCCCTCCCTCAAAACTTTACCTCTTCATCCATACCTTCATGTCTAATATGTCTAATGCCTCTGCTATCAGTTATGCTATAGTGGGATTTCTCAATTATTTACCTTCACTAATTGTATTCTAGTTCTAACACCTCCTAGCTTACATCTATTTTATAGTCTTATGTTTAATATTTTCATTTCTCCTGCATCCCTCTCTTTATGTGACAAATTACTTGTAACACAGGAACAGAAGCCCTACCTGGTCACTCTGATTCGCTTACCTCCACACTTGTATTTGAAACGTAAAATGATTCTTGTGGAAACTCTCAACCAGAACTTGATTTCATGTTAAATAAAGGCCCATCAACGTCATCTGTGCCCACTCCATATGTGTTGGTGATCCCCCAATGTTTGTTCGCTTAGGTCTACTTTCTGAGGTTAGAACAAGGTTTTCCAGGAACAGGTTTGAGCCTGAAGAGGCTAGGTGGCAGTACTAAAGGAATGAGGAACCTAGGAACTGATCTCTGTGTATCCCTCACATTGGTCAGTTGAGAAAGGTAGATAAGAAAGCAGAGAAATAATAATTAAGAGAAGGAACTGGAAGAATATGGTACTCATTTAAGATCTTAAATTTACTCCAGTGAAAGGTGTGTGTTGTGAAATAAGAACATCATTCAGGAAATTCTTTATTTTCTCAGCCTCAGCATTACTATCCTACATCTGAACTTGTGTCTTCTATTTTCTGTCCTATTACAGTGCAAGCCATTCCCTCTTACTTATCAATGAATAATGTCTGACTGTCTTAGACAAAATGCAATGCACTGGGGAGCTTGTAAACAACAGGTGTTTCTTAGTTCTAGAGGGTGAACAGGTTTAAGTCAGCTCATTGTGTAGTGAGGTCCTGTTTTCTCACTCACAGATTGAAAATTCTTGTTTCCTCACATGGGAAAGGGGTAGGAAACTTCTCTCTGGTCTTTTTCATAATCCTGTCAATTAAGACTTAATCCCCATGATCTAATAACATTTTAAAAGCCAGACATTACAATACCACATCAGTGATTACTTCTACTTATTAATTCTGGAGGAGGGAGTTAGACCATAACACACTCCTTTTTAATCAAGATCTGATTCTAGATGGATTTTTTTCCCTGCAGCATCTCTATCCTTTTGTATAACCAGCACCTCACATTCATCTAACACAAACACAGCACAACACTAGCACAACAGCAGGATTTTTGCCATTCCAAGCCTCAAAAACAAACAAATATTTTCTTTATCCCATTTCTTTATTCTTTTCTTTATTCTTTTTCTTTATTCTTTTCAAAATTTCTTTATTCTTTTCAAAATGATGGCAGGTATTATTTTATTCTCTAGTTTTTGACTATTGGAATTTAGATATTTTATCTCTGTTGTCTTACAATTTGTTTGCAACATCAGGGATCAGGCAAGCAAAGGAGCAGAGTTAGGGAGTAAACTGTGTCACCATGTTCCTTTGTGCTGGTTGCAGAAGAGGAAGCAGCTTATTACATGGTCACACAGCCTAACAGCTTTTTTTCCTCTGCTGAGCGCTTTCTCAGTGATGACAACCAGAACAATGACTAGAAAAAAAGCTGGAATCAGAGGTACAGGGGAGCCCCACTGTGCAGAGCATTTGGATGGGGAGCATCTGCATTCCTCTTACTTGGAAAATAAAGAGGAAACCTTGACAACATTGACAAATCCTAGTACTGGGAGCTATTATTGCTATTCTAGGTATCAGACACACCTAAAGAAAAATTATCTACAGAATTAAGGGGAGAAGTTTAAGAACTCTAGATAAAAGACCAGAAATAGCAACAGTAGAGATACATAAAGTGAAAGGCAATCCTAGATATCTATAGGAAAATTAGTGATGTATGTCATATACAGAGTCAATATCCAAAGTGTTGACAGAGCCAAGTTAAAAATGATCAATCTCTAGCAGTTACACAGATCTCATGATGACAAAATGAGCAAGAAAATCTAGATAGACAGAGGTCAAAGAAAAGACACATTATCCTGTATTTAGCGCAACTATAATTATGATTACAATATTGATTGAATAGGGGGTGCTTATCATGCACATGGAAGTCAAAGGACAACTTGCAGGAGCCAGTTCTCTTCTTCTGTCATATGAGTCCAGCAGGTAGACCTCATGCTACAGGCCTTGGGGGACAATGTCTTTACTCACTGAGCCATTTTATCAACCCAGGAACTATGCTCAAAGAACAAAATGAAGACTTTTTTATTATCTTCATCTTTTAGATGATGATCACAAAATATGAACAAATAGATTACGTTGAAACAATTTTCAACACAATTAAAAAACAATAAAAATGAGAATTTAAATATATGAAAATGAAAAATCTCAATAAAGATATTAAAAGGTATATACATAAAATTTCAGACACAATTCCAAAATCTATGAGAAAATAGTATGAATCTGCATATTTGGCTTGATTAAAAACAAGTAAAAAGTAAAAAATACTGTTATATAATGTTGAAAAAGGCATTTATGAGCTTTACATAAACCCAACAATCACTCCCCTCAGTGTGTGCGTCCAACCACAAAAGTAAGTAAATGTGATACAAATTTTCAAACTAAAATTTTCAGTTTTAATTGAATAAATTTCTAGATACCAAAAGAAAAATAGAAAATAGTCAAAATACCATAAAGACAAAAAGCTTTAAGTTGAAAATGTTAATTACTAGTAACAGAAGTCAGTACTGATACTACAAATATTACAATAACTGTATGTGGCTTAAATTCCCAAATAAACAGACTCATGCATGGAATAGAAAGCAATATAAGAAAATGTGAGAGCCTTAAGAAAATTAGGTAAAGGTATAAAAAAGACAAAAGATAAAAAATATAAATATATATATCTGAAAACACATTTTAAAAACTTATAAATACAAGGTTACTTTATTTCATAAGAAAATCTCTATGTTCAAAAATAATAACATTCTAACAAAGTCACAAAATTTTATTTTGAGAATAATTTACCAATATTCATCAGCAATATAGTTTAAAAATATATAAATCAAATCTTATAAAGTATTGTTTTACATTTTTCTGCCTTTTGATCTATTAAACAATCCTAGTCTATTAAACACTTATTTTTTCCTGCCTTTTGGTCTATTAAATAATCTTAGTCTATTAAACACTCTGACAGCTTTCATGACAGCACACTCTTCTAATTCAGTGTGATCGCTGGGAGTTTCTCTTCATTTAGTTTGATGTTGGCTGTTGGCTTGCTGTATATTGCCTTTATTTTGTTTAGGTATGGTCATTGAATCTCTTCTCTCTCCAAGAGAACATCTTGAAGGAATGTTGTATTTTTCTAAAGCTTTTTTGGCATCTAATGAGATGATCATGTGTTTTTTGTATTTCAGTTTGTTCATATGTGGATTACATTGACATATTTTCATATGTTGAACCATACCTGCATCTCTGGGATGAAGCCTACTTGATCATAATGGATAATTTTTCTGATGTGTTCTTGAATTAGATTTGCCAGTATTTTACTTAGTATTTTTGCATCAATGTTCATAAGTGAGATTGCTCTGCAATTCTCTTTCTTAGTAATGTCTTCCTGTGGTTTGGGTATCGCGGTAATTGTAGCCTCATAAAAAGCTTGGCAATGCTCCTTCTGTTTCTATTGTGTGGAGTATTGATATTAGTTCTTCTTTGAAAAATCTTATAGAATTATGAGGTGAAACCATCTGGTCCTGGGCTTTTTTTTGGTTGGGAGACTTTTGATGACTGTTTCTGTTTCTTCATCAGTTATAGGTCAGTTTAATTTGCTTATCTAATCTTGATTTAATTTTGGTAAGTGATATTTATCCAGAAAGTTTTCCATATCCTTTAAGTTTTCCAGTTTTGTTGAGTACAGGTTTTTGAAATATGACCTGATGATTCTCTGTATTTCCTCCATGTCTGTTGTTATGTCCCCTTTTCATTTCTGATTTTGTTAATCTGGATATTCTCCCTCTGCCTTTTGGTTAGTTTGAATAAAGGTTTGTCTATTTTGTTGGTTTTCTCAAAGAACCAACTCTTTGTCTCATTGATTCTTTGCATTGTTTTCTTTGTTTCTATTTTGTTGATTTCAGCTCTCAATTTGATTATTTCCTGCTTTCTAGTTCTCTTGAGTGAGTTTGATTCTTTTTGTTCTAAAGTTTTCAAATGTTCTGTTAATTCACTCATGTGGGATTTTTCCAGCTTCTTTATGTAGGCATTTAATGTTATGAACATTCCTCTTAACACTACTTTCATTGTGTCCCATAATTTCTTTATTTTTTTCCTTGACTCATTGATGATTTAGGTGAACATTGCTTAATTTCTATGTGTCTGTGGGCTTTCTGGAATTAGTATTGCTGTTGACTTCTAGTTTTAAACCATGGTGATCTGATAAGATACATGGGGTTATTCCAATTTTTTTGTATTTGTTGAGGTTTGTTTTGTTACTGAGTATGTGGTCAATTTTTGAGAAGGTTCTATGAGGTGGTGAGAAGAAGGTATATTCTTTTTGTTTGGATGGAATAGTCTATAGA